GATATATGTATGAAGTAAGTCATGAACAAGACACACGAGATGACCTTAGAACAAATAAATTTATAGAAAGGAAATAGTATATATTTTTCTAAAAAAAAATTATTCAAAAAATAATTGTACAAAAGAAAAAGTATAGTAATGCCTATTCATCTATATAAATATGCGTTAACTTGGTAGATATGAATAATAGTTCAAAATTTCTTGGTTAAAATAGATAATTGTTTTCATATTTTCGAATAAAGTAGGTATAATTAATCTGAGATCATAAATATAGAAATATTCCTATGTCTATGTCTAAGATCGATTAATAATATATTTCACCAATCATAATCCTTTATTCTTCAGAGAAATGGTTGTGATTGGCCATATTTCAGATAGTTTTAAAACAAAGCGGATCCATTGTTTCAAATAAATGATTTATTTAAACTTATTCAACTAAATATTAGTTGAATTTAAATAATCTTTTTTTCAGTGTGTAATACAATGTATTTTATGAAATAAAATTAAATTTTATGAGAATGTTTTCGTAAACATATTGCATTATTGCATATATTCTTCTAGAGACTATACAGTATGCTGTATCAATTTTTTCCAAACTTTGACATTAACTAAAATATAATTATTTCAATAATGTTGAAAATAGATGTCACCACTCGTTACATAAATAATGATGTTTCAAATATGATGTTATATGTAATACAATGTACTTTATGAAATAAAATTAAATTTTATGTAGAATGTTTTTGTAAGCATATTGCATTATCACAATTGATAGGATTTTAATTAAATAATTAAGCAAATTTATCTATTTATAAAATAATTAAGAGAAAAAGATATAATATCATTTTACTTCAGTACTCTCTAGCCAAAATTTATGATACATTAAACTAATTATTATGTCGAAATAGGCTATCTTTTTGCTTACTCCTGAGTAAATTAAACATAAAAAACAGAGATCGATAATATTAAAAAGAAAAAGAATCCTTCGATTTGCAAAATTTAATTTTTTATTTTACATCTGCATAGAAAGTATGAATGATGATTAATAAACGACTAATCCTGTAGTTTGAAATCTGATTTAAATATAATTATTGTACTCGATATCTCGGCCATATTAAAATTAAATATGAATAATATCTACATTCTTGCAATATATAATAATACAACATATGATATACACAATAATTAAGTACAAAAATATCCTATAAATTGTCGTAATGCAATTTGCTTACGAAAACATTTTACATAAAATTTAATTTTATTTCATAAAATACATTATAATACATAACATCATTTTTGAAAAACCATTACTTATGTAACGAATGGTGACATTTATTTTTAACATCATTGAAATAATTATATTTTACTTAATGTCAAAGTTCGATAAAAAATTGATACTTGATACTATATATAGTTTCTAGAAGAGTATATAAAATAATACTTTCAAAATATTATAACGTTTAAATAACACGAAAGTGAAACTAATTATAACCAAACATTGTGAACGCGTTAAAAAAAATTTTTTTAAATATTAGAATTATTTTCACATATTATTTAATAAAATGGAAAAGAATCATTATTTTCGAATCATTTTGCGTGGTGGTAATCCTAAATCTTCATTGGATGTTTTTTTTACAATTGGTCTTGTACCCAACAATAATTGTTGAAATGATAACTTTTCCTCTCCTATTTGCTTTATGTCTGTTGAATGATCAATCTCCAAATAAAATACGTCATCTAAATGATAAAATTATAATATTAATGACAGTTATATAGTAATTATATTTTTGGAAATTTTAAAACTTTTTCACATAGCTTACTCATAATTTTTACATATCCTTTCATTTCAATCATTTGCCCCTTGTCAAAGTAGACATCATTATCATAATTTACTATTTGTATCTCCAATTTATACATCTTATCTGTAATGGATCCGCAGCCAATTGTTTTAAAACTATTTAGAAATTTATTAAAATTCGTTTTAATGTATCCACGTATAACTGAAAAAAATTTTATTAAATTTTAGTTTATCACAAGATTCATCTTTAGTTCATCAATATCATTTTTAGTTTATCACTGTATTATAACGAATTGACTTATAGAAAATATTTAAATCTCATAATTATAAAAATCAAACAGTATAAAAATAAGAAATTATGTAAAAAATATGTATATAAAAGATTTATAAAAGCATATAGTTACATATTTATACGTACGTTTGCATACAAATGTTTATCGATATATAAGAAATACCGGATTTTAGTATAAAGTATATTATATACATATAAAAACACTTACTAATGCATGCATTAAGATGTTGAGGTACATCACACAATTCCACTAATTGTGGTTGCACCGCTTGAATGTTTTTTTTTAGGTCAAAATTACCCAACGTATTTATTGTCGTGTTGGATCGAATAATTAGTTCGTATTGAAGTGTCCCTTGGTTGAATTCAGGTATTTTTACCTTTTTAGCCTTAGCACCATCAATATGCACAATCTGCAAAATTAACAAATATTATTAAATTAAATATGTATATTAAATTAATATTATTCTAATACTACTGTTTTATATGTACTTTATTGGAATAAACTTTTTTTTTAAATATTACAACAAAATGATAATAAAAATAATAATTTTAATGTTATAAAAAATAAATTATACAAAAATGTATCGCTTACTCGATTTGGTTGTATATAAAAATTTATACGATCAATTTCTTCGTTCCAGGCAACAACTTGAATGCGATGTTTACTGTTGTTGTTCACCAAAAATTTTAATAATCTATAATGTTGGGATTTACCAACTATCTTCGGACCGTCAATTTCATCGATAAATCCAACAATTTCTCTAAATAAATTTTTTATTAAAATTAGTAATATAATAATATTTTAATTTGTTTTAATTATCAAGCTAAATTTGTTTTAATTATCAAATTAAATATTATGTTCTTTTATTTGTTAATTACAACAAAAGATAATTATTTTTTATTTAAGAAAGAATTAAATATATATATATAATGTGATCACACAACAATTGTTAATAAATAATCGAAAAGAAACTTTGAAGGTCATTGTGACATAAAAATTTTGATATTAAATATGTATATGTGTATCAAAACTATATTAATTTACAAATGAGATATTTTAATTAAATTATTCTAATAACATGCTTTAAAAAACAATACATTATTAACGAAAGCGTACTAAATATCATTTACTGATAATATTTTTCCAATGGTAGATTTGATAATTACATGTTATATAATTTCTGATAATGTAAATTTTAAAAACAATTCATTATATTGTAGTACATTTCGTTATTAAATTTTTCGTTTAAATTAATCTCATAAATATTTTATTAACTGATATGATAATACATTTAAGACATAGAGGTAAAAATTTGATAAATAATTATACAATTAAATAAAAAATTATATTATATTAAGTATAAATTAAAAATATAAAGACTCACACAGTAGAATCTTCGAATTGTATCGATTCCAACATTTCATCCGATGCCAAATATATCGTCTCCAAAACATCATTTTGATTGAGAAAAGTAATTTCCTGTCTATTGACTTCCACATCATTACTTCGATTTGGAGTAAAAGTTTCCTTTTTGTTGCAGGTTTCCGAATGACTTTCTTCGTTTAATGTCTCCTGCTGTATGTTAAGTATTCTGTAAATGAGTAGCGTATATCAATATAATATCGTGATTAATAAAATATATTTTATAAAACTTTTATGTCGCAAGTTACAAGCTCTTCCATTTAAATTATGTAAAAGATTATTATATTGCGAACTTTAAAAAAGAATCGGTAAAATAGAATCTCTTTTATATAAGAAAGCAGTTATAAAAATAATGTAAATTATTACTAAAAAGCTATCAATCGATTTTAACTAACAAAATTAGCTATTCTCTGTAACAATAATTTAAAAATTTATAAATAAAAAATGAAAATATTAATAAAAATAAGTATATTAATAAATTTACTTGTTAAGCGAGGATTCCTTTAAATTAATTTGGGACGAATGTTTATTTCCATTATTTTTTTTTTTATCCTTTTGATGTTGGTTAACTTTTTCCATTTTTTCTTTCTATCTCTTTTTCTTCCTCGTTCCTTTATTTAAAACTAAAACAAAAACGTATACTATAATATATCGCATAAAGTGTAATTTTATGTTAAAAATAGAAATTAAATCGCAAGAGTTTTATAAGAGAGCAATATTAATATCGAACAAAATTTAAAAAAAAAATTTTTTTAAATTTAAAATTTAAAAAATTTTAACAAAATTATAATTTAAATTTTAAAAAATAATTAAGTAATGTAATAATTATTAAATTTGTTTATAATGTATAATAATTTATAAAATAATTATTAAAAATATATCAATAATTTAGCTCACCTCTTCGAACCTCCTGTAGAATTGAGAAGATATGTTGCTATGTATAAAGAGTAACATATTTTGTTTTATCGTTGCTATAGAAAATTCGATGACGTTAAAGTTGTGTTCTAAAATGTGACGTGAATTATAGATTTTCAATATTAATAGTGATTTTAGAACACAACTTTAACGTCATCGAATTTTCTATAGCAACGATAAAACAAAATATGTTACTCTTTATACATAGCAACATATCTTCTCAATTCTACAGGAGGTTCGAAGAGGTGAGCTAAATTATTGATATATTTTTAATAATTATTTTATAAATTATTATACATTATAAATAAATTTAATAATTATTACATTACTTAATTATTTTTTAAATTTTAAATTATAATTTTGTTAAAATTTTTTAAATATATATTTTAAATTTAAAAAAAAAATTTTTTTTTTAAATTTTGTTCGATATTGATATTGCTCTCTTATAAAACTCTTGCGATTTAATTTCTATTTTTAACATAAAATTACACTTTATGCGATATATTATAGTATACGTTTTTGTTTTAGTTTTAAATAAAGGAACGAGGAAGAAAAAGAGATAAAAAGAAAAAATGGAAAAAGTTAACCAACATCAAAAGGATAAGAAAAAAAATAATGGAAATAAACATTCGTCCCAAATTAATTTAAAGGAATCCTCGCTTAACAAGTAAATTTATTAATATACTTATTTTTATTAATATTTTCATTTTTTATTTATAAATTTTTAAATTATTGTTACAGAGAATAGCTAATTTTGTTAGTTAAAATCGATTGATAGCTTTTTAGTAATAATTTACATTATTTTTATAACTGCTTTCTTATATAAAAGAGATTCTATTTTACCGATTCTTTTTTAAAGTTCGCAATATAATAATCTTTTACATAATTTAAATGGAAGAGCTTGTAACTTGCGACATAAAAGTTTTATAAAATATATTTTATTAATCACGATATTATATTGATATACGCTACTCATTTACAGAATACTTAACATACAGCAGGAGACATTAAACGAAGAAAGTCATTCGGAAACCTGCAACAAAAAGAAAACTTTTACTCCAAATCGAAGTAATGATGTGGAAGTCAATAGACAGGAAATTACTTTTCTCAATCAAAATGATGTTTTGGAGACGATATATTTGGCATCGGATGAAATGTTGGAATCGATACAATTCGAAGATTCTACTGTGTGAGTCTTTATATTTTTAATTTATACTTAATATAATATAATTTTTTATTTAATTGTATAATTATTATGCAAATTTTTACCTCTATGTCTTAAATGTATTATCATATCAGTTAATAAAATATTTTTAAGATTAATTTAAACGAAAAATTTAATAACGAAATATACTACAATATAATGAATTGTTTTTAAAATTTACATTATCAGAAATTATATAACATGTAATTATCAAATCTACCATTGGAAAAATATTATCAATAAATGATATTTAGTACGCTTTCGTTAATAATGTATTGTTTTTTAAAGCATGTTATTAGAATAATTTAATTAAAATATCTCATTTGTAAATTAATATAGTTTTGATACACATATACATATTTAATATCAAAATTTTTATGTCACAATAACCTTCAAAGTTTCTTTTCGACTATTTATTAACAATTGTTGTGATCACATTATGTATATATATTTAATTCTTTCTTAAATAAAAAATAATTATCTTTTGTTGTAATTAACAAATAAAAGAACATAATATTTAATATTTTAGCTTGATAATTAAAACAAATTAAAATATTATTATATTACTAATTTTAATAAAAAATTTATTTAGAGAAATTGTTGGATTTATCGATGAAATTGACGGTCCGAAGATAGTTGGTAAATCCCAACATTATAGATTGTTAAAATTTTTGGTGAACAACAACAGTAAACATCGCATTCAAGTTGTTGCCTGGAACGAAGAAATTGATCGTATAAATTTTTATATACAACCAAATCGAGTAAGCGATACATTTTTGTATAATTTATTTTTTATAACATTAAAATTATTATTTTTATTATCATTTTGTTGTAATATTTAAAAAAAAAAGTTTATTCCAATAAAGTACATATAAAACAGTAGTATTAGAATAATATTAATTTAATATACATATTTAATTTAATAATATTTGTTAATTTTGCAGATTGTGCATATTGATGGTGCTAAGGCTAAAAAGGTAAAAATACCTGAATTCAACCAAGGGACACTTCAATACGAACTAATTATTCGATCCAACACGACAATAAATACGTTGGGTAATTTTGACCTAAAAAAAAACATTCAAGCGATGCAACCACAATTAGTGGAATTGTGTGATGTACCTCAATATCTTAATGCATGCATTAGTAAGTGTTTATATGTATATAATATACTTTATACTAAAATCCGGTATTTCTTATATATCGATAAACATTTGTATGCAAACGTACGTATAAATATGTAACTATATGCTTTTATAAATCTTTTATATACATATTTTTTACATAATTTCTTATTTTTATACTATTTGATTTTTATAATTATGAGATTTAAATATTTTCTATAAGTTAATTCGTTATAATACAGTGATAAACTAAAAATGATACTGATGAACTAAAGATGAATCTTGTGATAAACTAAAAATTAATAAAATTTTTTTCAGTTATACGTGGATACATTAAAACGAATTTTAATAAATTTCTAAATAGTTTTAAAACAATTGGCTGCGGATCCATTACAGATAAGACGTATAAATTGGAGATACAAATAGTAAATTATGATAATGATGTCTACTTTGACAAGGGGCAAATGATTGAAATGAAAGGATATGTAAAAATTATGAGTAAGCTATGTGAAAAAGTTTTAAAATTTCCAAAAATATAATTACTATATAACTGTCATTAATATTATAATTTTATCATTTAGATGACATATTTTATTTGGAGATTGATCATTCAACAGACATAAAGCAAATAGGAGAGGAAAAGTTATCATTTCAACAATTATTGTTGGGTACAAGACCAATTGTAAAAAAAACATCCAATGAAGATTTAGGATTACCACCACGCAAAATGATTCGAAAATAATGATTCTTTTCCATTTTATTAAATAATATGTGAAAATAATTCTAATATTTAAAAAAATTTTTTTTTAACGCGTTCACAATGTTTGGTTATAATTAGTTTCACTTTCGTGTTATTTAAACGTTATAATATTTTGAAAGTATTATTTTATATACTCTTCTAGAAACTATATATAATATCAAGTATCAATTTTTTATCGAACTTTGACATTAAGTAAAATATAATTATTTCAATGATGTTAAAAATAAATGTCACCATTCGTTACATAAGTAATGGTTTTTCAAAAATGATGTTATGTATTATAATGTATTTTATGAAATAAAATTAAATTTTATGTAAAATGTTTTCGTAAGCAAATTGCATTACGACAATTTATAGGATATTTTTGTACTTAATTATTGTGTATATCATATGTTGTATTATTATATATTGCAAGAATGTAGATATTATTCATATTTAATTTTAATACGGCCGAGATATCGAGTACAATAATTATATTTAAATCAGAATTCAAACTACAGGATTAGTCGTTTATTAATCATCATTCATACTTTCTATGCAGATGTAAAATAAAAATAATTTTTCAAATCGAAGGCTTCTTTTTCTTTTTAATATTATCGATCTCTGTTTTTTATGTTTAATTTACTCAGGAGTAAGCAAAAAGATAGCCTATTTCGACATAATAATTAGTTTAATGTATCATAAATTTCGGCTACAGAGTACTGAAGTAAAATGATATTATATCTTTTTCTCTTAATTATTTTATAAATAGATAAATTTGCTTAATTATTTAATTAGAATCCTATAAATTGTGATAAAAAAAATAAAAAAAAAAAATTAAGATTTATTTGTATTAAATATAATAAAAAGATCTGTATATATATTTATATATATACTTACTTTTTTTCATTCGTCGATCACTGCTTCATCTTATTTATGCCTTCTTTTTTATAAATATATTATTTTCTACTAAATCTTGCGTGACACGACACAAGCTCTTAAGAAATATTATATAACACATACCGAGATCACTACACATTTAACCTTTATTATCACGATACGAACTGTCATTATTATAATAACCGCGATCAAGTTCGCCCCGTACCTCGAATCGACCACCAATCACGTATACGCGGAAAAACGGCAACAAGACTTTCGACTCCAAACACGCACTTCACGGGTACACATGACTTTTTTTATAGTAGACTAGATCGTCGCGCGCGCTTCGCGCGCGCCAATGCGATTATCTTATTTCGATATTTTACAGCATATAATTTGTATATTATTGCAAAACTAAAACTTATCTATTTTAATATATAATTCCTACCTCTTCCAATATTTCTCTTCTTTTTCTTTCTCATTTACTTTCTTCTCCTCTTTTACTCTTTCTCCATTTTTTTATACATTCTATTGTATATTTTCTTTTTCGATTTTCTTGCTTTCTCCTCATACTTGATCTCCATTTTCAATGCTCTCATTTTTATTTCTTTCATTTTCGTCTCTTCCATTATTATGTAATTTGGCGTTCTTCTGTCCAATCTTCTGTCTAATCTCCATTTCACATATTTCCTCTTTATTTTGTCTAGTTTTTCTTCCATCTTCCATATCCAGATCTCTGCTCCACATAATATGCTATGCTTGCTATTAAGGTTTCAAACATCTTCATTCATCTTCTCCTGTTTAAAATCCTGTTTAAATAACCTTTCTCCTACGCTCTATGTCATCTTTATTGCTATCGTTGCCTTTCTCATCTTCTCTATTATGTGTTTCTATGATCCTCCATTTTTTTACATATTTTATTTTTTTTTTACAGCATATAATTTGTATATTATTGCAAAACTGAAATTTTATATTTTGATCTATGTATTATTATATATATACATGAGCAAATAAATATTTTTATTAATATTATGTTTTACATCTGTTGATACTCACTGTATCTGCTTTACTTTAAAACGTTAATTAAATTTTATTCCTCTATTTGTTAAATTATCATCTTAAATATAATTTTTATATATTACAATTGTAAATCTAAAAACTTATGTATATTTTAATGTATATTATTTATATCATGAATATAAACAAATATTCTTATCAATATTATAATTTATACCTTACTATTATATATATGTTAAATTCTTTATTTAAAATTTAATATTTTTTATAAAAAATTAATTTTTTTAACATTCTGATTTTAATTGTATATAACATGCACATATAAAGTTTGTATCATTATATTCTTTTTTTTCTATTAATTTTACAAATACTACAATATCATGTGTTATAAATATTTAATTAAATAATATTTAATATAATTTTAAATTAATTTATGTTTAATTTTAAAATACTTTTGTTATTTTCTTTTAGATATTTTTATATTAAATATTGAATTCTAACTTATTGTTTCAATAATTTTTCTTGTCATATATGTACAAAATAAATTATTTTCTATTATTTTATTTGACAATTACTTTTGTAAAAGTAATTCGACAATTACTATTGTAAAAATGCATCCTCAGAGTTATGCTTGAAGAAATATGGAATAATCCATTTTCAAAAAGCATTTTTCATCACAGAATGCACTTTCGAAGAAATAAAAATATATAAAACATATTATATTATAATATATTAAAATTTATATCTGTTTGTAATGATAAATATATCATTACAATGTTTGTAATTGTAAATATATAACATATAATATAAAATTAAAAAATTGTAAATATGTATATATAATATAAAATTTACTATTATAATTTATTTAAAGTAATTATAATTTACACTGTAAAATACCAGCATTCTTATTGAAATATTTCTGTATATACATAATTTTTAACCAATCTACTTTGTTTTTCTTGTCCTAAATAAATTTCTAATGATTCCCAAGATCTAACTCGTGAAAATGCAACATAAAGTTGTCCATGACTAAAAACATCTTTTCTTAAATCGATTGCAATTTTATCAAATGTTTGTCCTTGTGATTTATTTATGGTCATAGCAAAAGCTAATTTAATTGGAAATTGTCTTCTTTTAAATACAAATGGGTAAACATCTTCACAGTATAAAGTTATACGATTTAAAAAGATAATTTCTCCTCTTTTATCACCAGTCAGAATTTCACATTTTAACAAATTATTTCCTAATTCTAAAATTAATAATCTTGTTCCATTACACAAACCTTCGCTGATATTCAGATTTCTAATCAACATGATAATTGTATATTTTCTTAATCGGAGTTCATAAGGTGGAAGATTTGTTGGATTTAAAGTATTTAAATATTCTGTTAAAATAGCTTCATTAATATCATTATTATCATTAGTAGTTTCAGTAGTATCTATACTTGTGTATACTCTTTCTGTTGATTCATCAAGTAAATTTACAACTTGTTTGTTTAATTCATCCACATCAACATTTCTTGCAGAAAGTATAACACGTTTTGCTGCAAGTCTATACTGATTGTGTTTGATTATTTCTTCGTATGTATCTTTCGTTATATTTGCATTTAAATTTGCTACACATCTTAATGGAATTTCAATATTATTAGACTGATCATTTAGAGAACCATTACCCAAATCTAATAAAAATTGAGCAAATTCCTGTTCATGTGGTAAAATACGCATATTTTCTGTTAATGAAAAAATTTTGAAATATTGCCATAATGAACTGAATTTAATTGATAAATTTACAGTTTCAGAACGTGTGGCATTTTGTTTTACTGGCAATAATTGTCTGAAATCTCCACCAAAAATAACAATTTTTCCTCCAAATGGTATATCATTATGCATTAAATCTTGTAAGAGACAATTCATTACTTCAAGAGCATATCGCGGTGCCATTGGTGCTTCATCCCAAATAAAAACATCTGTTTTTTTTAAATAATCAGCTTCTTTGGATTGAACTTTTATATTCGATGTTGAATCATTAAAAAGAGGTACGGGCAAACCTAAAGTTTTATGTGCTGTTCTTCCATTTGGTAGTAATGTTGCAGCGATACCAGTGAAAGCCATTGTATTAACAACTTTGCCTTGAGATTTGAGTAAATAGTATAATGTTGTGTAAACAAAAGTTTTACCTGAACCTCCTGGACCGTCAATGTATAAGCATTTTTTTTGTTGACTGTTAGTTTTTGTTAAAAGAGTTAAAACATAATCAACAACATTTTTTTGACCATAATTTAACTGGCTATACTGTTGCTGACCACATAAAGCTTCTCTTTGCAATTGTTCTGCATCTTCTTCTTCATATTTTATCTTTATTTGTTCCATTTCTGGAAATTGCTTAAGTTTCCAACTTTTTTGCGAAGTAATTGATTGATTTGAGCATAAGCTTTTTTTATTCCAATGACTCGTCCAAATCGTCGTATGTAATCTTCGGACATTGCAACTTGAAATTCATTCCATAATTCTTTTGGATGCAATGGTTGGCAATGCATTAGTATTCGAACAAAAAGATACCTAAGTTGTCTTGGCATCATCCATATAGAAGCTTTGCTAATTGCACGTTTCCATTCATCATCATCTTCAATTAAACCCAAAGCCAAACATGCAGAAGTAAATGTTTGATGTAATACACCATTAACTGTTTTTAAAGCATTATAACTTGTTGCTCCTTTAATATTCAATAAAAGAATACGTAAATGGAATAATTCAATTTCAGTTGGACTAACTGAGTACATTCGTCCAATACAATTAAATTTACTCTGACGTTTTTCCCAACGACTAATTTGTTTTCCATCAAGAATTACTTTCTTGAACACGTAATATAAAGGTATATCTGTATATACATATTGGTGTGCATCAACATCTCGTTTATTTAATTCAAAATAATCCATTAACATTGTTATACGTTCTAAAGCAGATTGTAAATCTTGTTCATTTAAATGATCAGAGATAATTACATTTTGTTCACTTGGCAAATGTACAGGTAAACGAATGATGGCATGACTTTTTTCTTGCAATATTTTATTTACAATACGCCAATAAGCTTCAACTGGTCCTACATAACGTGCTTCAATAAAATCTTTGATTTCGTCATGAACAATTTCCATATTATTCACATCTTCTTCTATAACTACAGATGCTGCATCGTGACCTTTGTAAATATATTTATATAAATACTTTACTGACTTGAT